CACACACACACACCAAAAAAAAAACATAAACTAAAGATAGAAGCAAAATTAGAAGTATGATGAGGAAACTTGACAGTCAAGCATATGTAGAAATAATATGTTGCAATCAAAGGGGTTTCGGGAAGGAATATGGGGTTTTTGGGATACGTAAGAACGTAGGCATGTTGTTTAACGTTAGATGATAAGTTTAATATATCATTACCAACATAGGTACAGTTAAGAGTTGGAAAAAAAAATACATAGATCCAAAATAACGTAGAAACAGAGCTTTTAGGATTAGCACGTTGACATTTAGCTCACATCTTTACCTTTATGGGTACGTCAAACTTAGATCCTTGCCCAGCTAACGTGATTGCCCTTACTCATATTTGTTTATATTGATACTATTTAAGCCAAGTTTACGTGTATATTGACTAATTTATTATTATGTTCTTTTTTTTACCTCCCACAAATAGAAACACTTAGGTGACTTTGTTTATCAAAATGTATAGATAAAATAAGTAAAAACAATTTGGTGATGCTAGAGGTGTATATGGACCGGGTTGGTTCGGTTTTTATCAAAACCAAACCAACTATATCGATTTGAATTGGTTTGATTTTGTCGGATTTTTTGTTACTTAAATATTATTTCAATCTTACTTTATTAAATTTTTGATAAGCAAGTATATGTTTAGTAAAAAATATACAAAATTGACAAACATATTATCTATTAAAATATTCTTATGAGATAATTTTTTTAGTAACACATAATAGTTAACTTTTTAGTCGTCTGACAATAATGTTTCGTTGATGTACATTTTCAAGGTTAATCGAATTTAGTAATTAAACATAAAAATCAATATGATACCTAAATAATAATAATCACTTCACATTCGAAAACGATATAACAATTTTGTAGATCTTAACATATGATATGAATACCAAAGAACAAAGAGATTGACACATTTCATTAATTAAGGTTAATAAATATGGAGCACTTCATATACTATTAAATATTATATCCCGCAAGATAATCCCAAATATTTCTAGATATTTTTTAAAGAAAATTTTATATAAAATCTTAAAAGTATATACAAAAATTATATATTTATATGTCGGTTTGGTTCGTATTTTTTTACTTAACCAAACCAAATCAAACCAAACCTAGTCGGGTTTTTAATCAGTTTGGTGCGATTTTCTGGTTCGGTTTGTACACCCCTAGGTGTTGCTATTCAGATGCCCATGACGGAGGGTGTGCTGATGAGGGCGCGTCAAACAGGACTGACATGCTTCTAGGTTGGCAAACTTATGAAGAAGGAGTGCACATGTCACCTTAGGCGAATCCCATATCAAAATAGGCGAGGAAAATGAAGAGTTTTATGAGGTATGACACAAGTTCACATGGTACGTGTGCTTTTGAGGATCGAAGTGGCGTAACCCGAAAGACAAATCCATGAGGGGCCAGGTCCAAAGCGGACAATACGTGCATGGATTTAGATCGCGACAAATGTGGTTCAGAGCTGAATCTCTACGATGGTGGGGCAAAGAGAGTGAAAAGCTTTATAATACAAATTTGTATCGTATAGTACACGCTCTTTTGGGGTTTGAGATGCATAGCTCGAAAAATAAATCCATGAGAAATCCCAAAACAGATAATACATGTTATGAACTTGGATCGTGACAACCACTATTGAGATTCGAACAGTCTAGTCTGAACGCACCAGATAATATCTTGTCAAGTTAGTGCGCAACGATAAATTCCGAAACCAACTTTAGAAAATACGTTACGGAAGTCATTTGAACAAGTTATACTTTTTCTATCTAAAAAATTTATTAAACTCATAATTAAAATCCCAACCTCCCCCCACCAACATTCAAGGGCCATACCTATTATTGAGCACTAAAATTAAAATCTCTTACTTTCCCCTATAGTGAAGGAAAAAGGAATAATATATTTTTTTGGGTACGAAAAAGAGAATGTTTGACAAAAATGTTGCGTATAAAATTGCAATAGCAATGAGGACCGCAACATTAGCAGCAAATTCCGCAGAAATTCACACCATGAAACAGAAAAAAGCAGCTACTGTGCTAGCGTTAAAGGACACGTGTTCGATAATGAACGACCTAACGAATCTGATAAGTACAAAAATGGCATATCCTCTGTGGTCGAGTTCACCGTAACCTTCTCTCTTAAGGGTCTACTCTACAATCTATCATTATACTAACATTCAATCATTATGCTTCAATTCTAAATTAAGTAAAATAATTATATTAGTTATTCATCATAACATAGTTTTATTTATGTTGACAGTTAATTTCCCGTAATATTTTTTCTTTTTATACCTACTCAATATAATGTAGAAATGACACGAGGTAGACATTTTAAATAGTTGTTATTTAAAAATTAATCATTGCATCCTAAATTTTAGATTTTCAATTTAATTTTTTAGGAAAAAAATATCCTGAATTATTCTGAAGTTAAGATTTTTAGTTTAAAATTTTAGAACAAAATAAGTACTGGCTAATATGGCTATATGTGCACTGTTATTTGTTTGATATTAGACTTAATAGTTGTTTCCAAAATTAAGCATTGTTTTTTTCTTTTTAAGCATTAAAATATCGAATTCAAATACACATTGAAATATTTGAATATTGAATGATTCAGACTTATATATATTTTTTTTTCAACATATGAAATGTGAAGGTTCATAATTTATCTTTACCAATAAAAAGATTGTCGTATAGGTCAAAAAAGGTGAAAAATTCTAAAGTCAACACAAAGCAGGACGTCGATTGTTTGAGACCATACTATTACGGTAGGTTAAGTAACACGAGATTACCCAGAGTCCTAACTAACTAAAACCAGCGCGTTACAGCTGATGATTGTCTGTTGACACAAGCAACAAAAATTAAAAAATAAAAATAAAAATTTGATATTACAATTTAAAATTTGTATAAGTTCCCAGCATTTATCCATATTCTGAAAAGTTCTTCTTCACCCGCTCTCCAGTTTCTGCATCACCTACCTTTTCAAAGTTCAAACGGTGAAAGGTACCGACCAATTTCCAGCTTTTTCTGTATAATGCAACATGCATGTGTTTTTTGTTGTTTTCTCAATATGTATGCGCGTGTGTGTGTGTGCAAGCGCGCGTGTGTGTTTGTGTATTTGGCACATAAATTACAGGGAAAATGAATTGTGGCTCTGGGGCATTGAGCTCTACATGTAATTATATTTACATTCTGTTTTTAAGGAAGTTTCTGGTTTTGTGTTGAATTTGAGTTGAAGCAAAATTGGTAAAGTGGAAAGGCTGTTGGTTTGTATTTCGACATTTTGTGCTTAGTTCAATGTGCGCTATAATTTGCTTAATTATGTTCTTACGTGGAGTACTAATTAGTGTAAGCTAAGTTTGAATGGCGAACTATTGGAATTCTGATGTTTTTGTCTAATTAGCTTCTCCACGTTTCTCGTTCAGTGACCCAAATTGGTTTGAGTGATTGCTTCTTACCCAAGTTGGCAAACTTGATTAGATTATGGTGATTTCTGAGAGAAAAAGTATGAATTACAGATTGCATATACTTGATAGTTTATGAACTACAACAACAACATACCCAGTGTCATCCCACATTGTGGGGTCTGGGAAAGGTAAAATGTACGCAGACCTTACTCCTGCCTTGTGGAGGTAGAGGGGCTCTTTCCGAAAGACACTAGTTTATGAACTAAATAGAAAAAAAGTATGAGTTGCAGATCGCATATGCTTGATGGTGTTGATTTTTAACACTTTTTGTAAAATTTAACCTATAATAACTGGCTAGTTACCATTTTAACTAGGTTATTAATTAGAGGTTATCATAGATATTAACTTGTAATTACCTTAAAGTGGTTGATTGTGTAAATGTTTTTTACATCTCAGTACTCTATCAGATTGATAGCTTCTTGTACAGTAGTGATGAATAGATATGCATAGAACTTATACTCTATCATATTGATAGCTTCTTGTGTAGTAGTGATGAATAGATACAAATGTGGATTCGTCAAAATGATGAGTCCCTCTAGCTAGTAATTGCTTCACCTGATGATTGAAAAGATGGACTAGGAACTCCGAACTCTAGCCCATCACTAAAACTGATATATAGCCCAGTGTTTAAATGCTAGCTTTCTTCTTAGTGTTGGAAAGGTCCCAAGTAATACTATTCCAGTGCCACTTCAAACATGGCAGAACATAGTTTCTATTTGTCTTTGTTTCTTCTCATTCTTATCTGTGGGAAGGAGGAATAATTTGTTAGTTTAGCCTCCTCTATTCATCTGATTTTATATCTTTGCTTGGATTTTCACATTTTCACATGAGCTAAATTGAAAGGCGGATAAAGTAAACTTTGTGATTCTGATTTTTTGTGTAATTGGATGCCCAATTCTCATTTTTCCATGTCAGTTGTTAATAGCACATTGTGCTGTCATGCTAATCCTTGTGCAGGAAAAATACATAGTTCCATTTATTATTTCGAATCTTTATCTCACTGAAAGTAGCTCAATTGAATGCGAGTTTGCAGATATATCCTCAGCAGTCAGGCTTTTGCTTCCAGTAAAGGGTATAACTATTAAGTTTCAGGCGGTCATAAACAGATAAAAATAGAACATTGGAGTTTGTTGAGTCGCAAGAATGAAGTTTGGTAAGGAATTCAAAAGGGAAATGGTCCCAGAGTGGATAGAAGCTTATGTGGATTACAATGGACTCAAACAAATATTACAGGATATCCGCCGTTCCAAGGAAAGCAAACAGCCTCCAACTCCTGCAAGAAGCTTAGATCAGAGGTTGGCATTATATCGGAACTTTAGTGGTCTAAATCTACAATCCGGTACTCAGAATACTGGTGATATTGAGGACCAGGTGATAGCAGTGAACACGGTGCAACATGAAAACTCCGGAAAGTTTTACATAACAAAATTCCTGGGATCTCCTGAAGGAGCAGAGAATGAAATTAGTTTCTTTAACAAACTAGACCATGAGTTCAACAAGGTTAATACCTTCTATAAGGACAAGGTGGATGAAGTCATGAGGGAAGTAACTTTGCTGAATAAACAGATGGACGCATTGATTGCGTTACGTATCAAGGTGATGGATCCTGGTTTCGATGCTTTTGGTTCCCTTCAACGTCTTTCATTTGACATTAACAATTCAACGCCCTCGAGGATTACATCTCCTCTCAGAATGACAACTGTAGGTATGGGACACAACCACATCCACTTCATGAATTTCACCTATAGACTATCTTTCCCTTCATGGTGGGATTAGGCAGAAATAAATAAGATTCAGGAGTAAATTTTTTCCTTAGATGATGTTTATGTATATTTGGTTTTAGTGCATTTTCAGATTCTTAACTAACTGTCAATGTACAGATACAGATCATATGCCTGTAGGCACAAGTTTTGACCCAAGTTACAGCAGACAAGGTTCTAGTACTAATGCTTCACATCCTAAAGTTCCCATTAACCGTACTTTAAGAGAGAAGAGAGATATTGATTCACAGAAATCAGATCCTCTTGAAATCCTAGATCACATTAAGATTGTTAATACGTTTGAAAGTCCGATGTCGACTATAAGAGGTGTCTTGAGAGAATCCAAAGAGAATGATTTGAGTTATAAGAAAGAGGAACTAAAGAAGGTTGAACAGAGGCTGAAGATTATTTTCTTTGAGTTCTATCAAAAACTTCGCCTTCTAAAACACTTCAGGTACTGGAATATAGAGCTTGACTTGCTTTCCTTTCCAAAAAATTTCTTTCAATTTACTTTAATTTTCTATACTCGATGGCTCACTGTACTGGCCTGCTAATTTTTGGATGAATTGTACCAGCTATATGAACCTTTCTGCATTGGCCAAGATCCTCAAAAAATATGAAAAGGTCAAGTTTCGCTAACCAAAATCAAAATTTGCATTACATCAGTTACAAGTGAAAGCAACATTCTGAACAAGTACCAAAAATGCTTCAGTCTGTCACTTTGAATCTTGAGATCCTAAAATTTTGAATCTTTTTTCCCAGTGCAGATTACATCTAGAAAAGCAGCAAGGTCATACATGAAAATGGTGGATAAATCCTACCTTGGAAGCTCTGAGGAGGTTAGTTTAATCTATCTTTCCACACTTTTAAACTGAAATTTTTATCATGCTGGATGCCTTTTCTTGAAAATGACTATATACGTTGATTGTATCATGTCATTCTTTAGGTTACTAGTCTTCTGGACAGGGTAGAGACCACCTTCATCAAGCATTTTTCACACTCAAACCGCAGAAAAGGCATGAAAATATTGCGTCCAAAGCATAAAATAGAGAAACATCGCATAACATTCCTGTCAGGCAAGTAATAAAACATATGATGTACTATCATTTTAAAGTATAGAACCAAAGGGACAGTCACTTTTTTCTTCAGATATAACATGTTTTCAGTTTTTGGTTTTATGAAACCCTTTGTATTTTGGGCCTTCACTTTGATTCCAACTTGTCCTTCACTATTTCCAGGTTTTCTCTCTGGTTGCTCGATTGCTCTACTAGTTGCTTTTATTCTATTAAGAGATGACAGAAAGCTGATGGATAAAGAAGAAGGGACCTCTTATTTGGACAAGATAGTCCCACTTTACAGGTAAAGAAGGATCAAACTCTTTTTTCTAGTTAGATTTTACTAATACAAGCACAGATGAAAACCCACATTTTTGAGCTTCCTGAGCCTGTAATTTGACTAGAGAAAAGTTTTGAATTGTCTGGCAGTTTTTATGCATACATTGTGCTGCATATGCTTTTATATGCTGCAAACATATATTTCTGGAGGCGCTACAAAATAAACTATGCGTTTATCTTTGGTTTCAAGCAAGGAACCGAGTTAAGCTATAGGGAAGTCTTTCTTCTTAGTAATGGTCTCGCAATGCTTGTCTTTGCCGCTCTCCTGATGCATCTGCACATGAATTCAAGAGCTGAAGAATATGTAACACCTATTGAATATGTTCCTTTGGGATTGATGGCGGTAAGATTTTAGAGCTTTCTGACTGATCGGTTCTACTGCAGTTTTATACTTTCTTTCACCAAAGATAATTCTGTATGCAGGTTCTTCTTTTTATTACTTTCTGCCCATTTAACATCATTTATCGCTCAAGTCGTTTGTTCCTTATAAGATGCGTCTTTCGCTGCATCTGCGCTCCTCTTTACAAGGTAAAATCAACAGATAATGGGTTGTAAATAAAAACCATATAGTTATCTCTAGGTGGGATAACTCTCTTTAAATTCTCATTCTGTGCAGGTTACTCTTCCAGATTTCTTTCTAGCAGATCAACTTACTAGCCAGGTCTGTGATTTCCCTACATTGTAGAGTTTAGTTTCTCCTTCGTCTTTTAGTTGTTTACGGTTTTAACTTCCTACATAACACAGATTGAGGCAATAAGGAGTTTGGAGTACTACATTTGCTATTATACGTGGGTTAAATCTTCTCATGGACATAATACGTGCCAAAGTCACAATGTGTATAACATATTTTACTTCATCCTAGCGGTCATACCATATTGGTTTCGGTTTTTCCAGGTCTGATATCTTCTTCTGATTGTTATTTCTCTACTGTTAATTGTGTATGTGAAAAGATGAGTGACACTAAGGATCTACCATCTTTCTTCTTTCAAGTCTTATGATTCCTTGCCTCGACTTATTTCCAAGGCAAGTTAATCTTCTAGATTTTGGCAATTATGAAATCTAACATCCCTTGTTCAGCTATATCCTAGGTGGCTTAAAGCATAAATCAGGTTTTGTAAGGAAATCTCTTCTCTTAAGATATTTTCATCTTCTCAATAAAATACTGAATAACTGATATGCCTTGCTTCTATAGAAATTGAAGTCTCAGCGATATTATCCTTCATGGTTAAGGATGCCATAACTAGTTGTAAGTAGAAATTCTCATAAGCATTGAACCTATAATTCCACTATGATATATATGAACAATCTGAGTATCCAAACCAAGACCTTAAGATAACGATGTAGTAGTCCTAGACTTTATAAACCCTTTTAGAAGTCTGTACATAATCCCTGTGGAACAACTATTATCAACACCCTCCAGCATATGTAAACCAATTTTGTGCTTCATGCATGAATTTTAGTACAAACTTATGAGTGGCAGAATATGGGCTTACAAAGGTTAGCTCTAATAACATGTGAAAGAATACGAGCGTCCGACTTAAAAACCTCATAGTAACGGTAGAGAGACGCCTTTAGAAGTCCTTACACAACCCACGTGGGCCAATTATATAACTGAACAATATCTTTATGCCATTTCTTTCAATACTCGAGCAGGAAATATTTTCCTTTAAAGTAGACTTACAGATGGTTATGCTTTCACTGTAGTGTATCCGTCGACTGTTTGAAGAGAAAGATCAATCACAGGCATACAATGCCTTGAGATACTTTTTGACAATTCTGGCAGTTGTTATTAAAACAGCTTATAGTCTGAGAAAAAGTTTGGCTTGGGAGGTGTTGGCTATTCTTAGCTCACTTGTCACAACTCTTTTCAACACATACTGGGATATAGTTGTAGATTGGGGGTTATTGAGAAGGAAGTCCAAGAACAAGTTCTTGCGGGATAAGCTCGTACTGCGCCATAAAAGTGTATACTTCATAGCCATGGTAATTTCTATATGACTATTAAGTTGCTTCAGTTCATCTTATGATGAGCTAGCCACTCTAAATCTTTTCTCCGACCTTCTCACAGGTCTTAGATGTCTTGCTTAGATTTGCTTGGCTACAACTGGTATTGAAATTTAATGTGCCCTCTTTGCAAGGAAGTACTGTCTCAAGCATATTTGCTTGCCTAGAAGTAATTCGACGTGGCATGTGGAATTTTTTCAGGTATGACAATCTTTCTTGCTGGATTTTCTGTTTCAGCTGTCATTCCTGTCGACATTAAGGTTTACAGGACAGTGATTATATTCAAATGACTTAGAGAGAACCTGTTTTCTCACGTCAATCACATTATGACGAAGGGAGAATATATTGACTACATATATTTATGATCTCGAAATTCTGTGAAATGACATTGGAACACTCTCCAGTCCAAGTTAGAACTCTTCGTGATAATTGTACACGAACTGAGACACGTTTTGATTTATCAGGTTGGAAAATGAACACCTGAACAATGTAGGGAAATATCGCGCATTCAAGTCAGTACCACTTCCTTTCGTTTACCATGAAGAGGATGATGAGGACAAAGAAGAATAAAGGCGAACATAATGTCTATTCATTAACTCATCAGATTTCTGGCGACTGCCAAAACTCTACTCTAGCAACCAATAAAAGTCATTCACAATGAAGAATTAATTCACATGTCAAATGCTGCCTGATAACAACATTTCACATCAAAGCTCAAGAAGTTTTCTACACTTCTGGACCTAAAGGAAGATCAGGATTTTGAACACATGTGAAAAGAGGTTAATATTCAGAAACAAAGACTAGGCAGACCACAGAAAGCTGCAGATCTCTTTAAGGGTTATTTATTCGGCCCTTAACTTCAGAATAAGGCAAGATCAGTGGGGATGAGGAGGAGAGAGAGAATACAAAAAGTTACAAAAAAGAAAAAGAACAGAAAAGATATATTCTTAAAAATTATTTTAATGTATATTTCAAGGATGCAATCACACATACTACATCTGCGCATGGTATAGCGAACCAAGTAAACTTTCTTTATTAGTATTATTTTCAAACCAATAGTGCAATTTCTAGTTGAGAATGATACTGAACCAGTTATACATTGATATGTTCCCAATCTTCATAGGTTATGACATTCCTTTTGTTAACGAAATAATACCAAATACAGTATTTCGTTTTCCACTAAATGGTGTAATCCAAATTATCTTTTTTATTTTCGTTGCTAAGGTTAATTTCTATCTAAAAGATACTTCCTGAAAAATCAAAAGGCTGCTCTTTTTTTTTCTTTTTTTGTTTTCATTTACAATTTTGATTGAATAAAATTAAAAACTACCATTACCTGCAGGGGCGGATGCACGTTTAACGAAGCGGTGTCACGCGACACCGCTACGTCGAAATTTTTTGCTAGATATACATATTAATATTGTAAGAAAACAGATAATTAGGAAAAAATGACACTTGACATAAATTGTCTCTTGGCACGTTAGACGTGTGTTATGTGCCTGATTTTGTAAATATTTGAGAGAGCTTCCGTAGTTAAAAATTGTGATGCAGTAGAATTGAACTTAAGACTTAAAACCAATAGACTTAGCCTATTTCTTGTCTAGTAGTATGATAATTATAATTATTATTCATGTTCTTCTATAAATTTCGATATCGATTACAAAAATTCTTGCGTATGCTCATGATTACTCGTTGTAGACAATAAATTTGCGTCGAGAAAATAAAATCAAGACCGAAAAATATCGCAACAATCGTAGTATTTTATTTCGAATATTTGAGTGTTACAATCTCTATGAATCCTCCAATTCTTCTTTTCAATAGTTAAATAAATTCAAGGGCCTTTGAGCTTGATCTTGAATCTATATTTGTTTCCATGAACGATGATCTTGTTCTTGAGCTTAAGCTTGACCTTGATTCGTTCTTCGTTCTTGAGCTTGAACTTGATTTCTTGAACTTGAACTTGATTGCTTGAAGCTTGAAACTTGTAGAGGAATTTGCGGTGTTTGATCCACGAGCTCTCTCTTGCTTCTTGTTATAACTTCTGGTGTCTTTTCTGAGTTATGAAGACCCCTATTTATAGTTGTGGAAGGGAAGAGTCATGATAAGAACAAACTCTTTCCGGCCAATCAAATTGAAGTGTGACATGACCGCATTTGATTGGCCAGAACATGTCACTTGCACACGTGGCGCGATTTCATTGGCCTTTTAGTGTGACTTGGCATGCCTTGTCATTTTGACATGTGGCATGATCCTATTGGCTCTTCCGTTTGACTTGGCGCGCCACGTCATTTGACACGTGACACCAAACTGGGCCTCTAGGAAGATGACATCTTGGGCCTAATGAATTGGGCTCATCACTTTAGCCCAATTAAATAGGCTAGCCCAATGGATTATGACTTATTTATTTAATCCATATATGTTGGAATTATATAATTAATTCAATTATATTAGCCCATATATTTGTTTGGACCAATATATCTCGAATTTAAAATATAGTCCAAATTATTTCATGGATTTAATTTTAATAAAATTTACATGCCTACAAATGCCCCCTACTTCAAGACTTGTCGAATATTAATCTTCTGAGACTAGGCTTGAAGTAATGTGAAGCAACATTTCCTTCTCTTTCTTTTCACATAAAGCTTAACCCATCCACCTAAAAAGTAATAATGATAACCCCAAAGCTTGAAACACTAAAGTTCCAAATTCAGTCATGATGAACACCGTATTCGTTTGCTAATGTTCCATTTTGACTTTGGCCGAAAGGGAGAATCATAACTGTCAATAGGTATAGTATACTTGCCATTCAAGATTAATTAAATAATCTCAAATCCGACTCATAGAATTTCATGATATTTTGGAATTTTCCTGCACAAGTGCCAGATGAGTTCCTTATGCAAGTTCCCTATAAAGTGGGCTTTGATTGGTATGAACTATTTAGATGAGAATTTCCAAGGTAAGTCCAAAATCACGTCTTGAGTTGCTTCTCAAATGGTTGTGCAATTTAGTGCACGTGGCTTCGTCAGAGTCGATCTTCTTTCCACTATTTAATTAGACTTCTACTTGGATTGTAGAACATAGAATATTATTATCCGATCAAATTACCACATCCCAGTTCATGTGGAAAACTAATTGTCGAAGCCGCCTAAACATCGATCCCACATCGGCAATTCACGTTTCAGCAGCCGTCTTTGACATCTATATAAACCCTATGTGCTCGTGTTTATTGAGCATCACTTCGTAGTCTTCGCAAGCCACTTGAGTTTGATTTTGTAGACTCGGAAGCATTAACGCGAAGGTAATTTCTTTTTCTTTTCTTGTGCTTTCTTCTTTGTTGTCTCTTTTTTTTTAGGTCAAGCAAGAAAGATATGTTCTTGTTCAACAAGATGATCCAAGCATGAAGAAGAAATTCGTGCGGTGTGAGGGGATGGGTACTCATCCCTGCCCAATTCTTGGAGAGATTACTTTCATGGCCCGATTCTTGGAGAGATTACTCTCAATGTGTCCCAATTCTTGGAGAGATTACTCTCAAAATGGCCCGATTTTTGGAGAGTACTCTCAAAATGGCCCGATTCTTGGAGAGATTACTCTCAAAATGGCTCGATTCTTGGAGAGATTACTCTCAAAATGGCCCGATTCTTGGAGAGATTACTCTCAAAATGGCTCTATTCTTGGAGAGATTACTCTCAAAATGGCCCGATTCTTGGAGAGATTACTCTCAACATGGCCCGATTCTTGGAGAGATTACTTTCAATGTGACCCAAACTATCGGCGAGGCCAACTTAAGGTTCAAAGGGACTCATATGTCCACCTTAAGATTGGAAATTTGTAGTTCCTTTTAAGGACAAACCCACGAAGAGGCCAACTTAAGGTGCAAAGGGACTTATATGTCCACCTTAAGATTGGAAAGTTATAAAGCTTCAACTTGAAGGCGACATCGACTTGAACACTTGGAAAACTTTGAAGATTTGGCGGACTTTGCAGACTTCAACTCGAAGATTCAGAGGGCTTAAACAATTCAACTTTAAGATCGGCGAATTTGAAGACTGAAACTTGAAGACCGACGAACTTGAAGACTTCAACTAGGGGGATTAAATATTTCAACTTTAAGACCGGCGAATTTGAAGACTTCAACTTGAAGACCGACGGACTTGAAGACTTCAACTTGGGGGCTTAAATATTTCAACTTTAAGACCGGCGAATTTGAAGACTTCAACTTGAAGACCGACGGAGTTGAAGATTTCAACTTGGGGACTTCAACTTGAGTACCAACGGACTTGAAGATATCAATTTACCATGGAGGGTTGCCCCTTTTAAATCAAATGAGATCAAAGTTTCACAAGAGGATGGCATTTCAGCTTGATCTTACATTCCTCCATACTTCACAGTTGGGGCAATATATATCTTTTGAACTTATGCGACTGAACTTAGAATGAAACTCTAAGCTGCCTACGTACCTCGGTGAAGAGGATCAAGTCATACCGTAGTTCAGACAGGGTAGATTTTCTTTTTTTTTTTTTACGTCCTAACGTTTGCCTAGGCCGCCTCTTTCGAAGTTTTCAACCTAGCGGACTTCTTTTTTTTTTTTGGGCGCCGTACACAGTTTATACTCTTGCGGGCCAGGAGTGTAGCAACATGCAGTTTAGGCTCGTGCGTCAAGGAGCGTCATGACTTGCAGTTTAGGCTCGTACGTCGAGGAGCATTATGACTTGCAACTTCATGGATAATACTTCTTTAAAAACTTGCCGTTGATAGGGCCTATTCTCATACCATCTGCATCAACCAGCTTGTAAGCCCTACTTGAATAAGCTTCTTGTACGACATATGGCCCATCCCATTTTGAAGTAATTATGGGTCTTCGTACGGCAAGGACTTGATCTCCTACTTGAAAGGATCTCGGACGAATTCTTTTATTGAAGGCGCGAGACAATCGAGCTTGATTACATTCAAGGCTCTGTTGAGCTTCCAATCTCTTTTCATCAAGAGCTTCCAACTCTGCTAACCAAAGTCGAGCATTTTCTTCATCAGTGATCCCTTCTTGAATAGCCAGTCGTAACGAAGGTATTTGACGCTCAAGTGGCAAGACGGCTTCTACTCTATAAATGAGTGAATAAGGAGTCGCCTGTGTTGGCGTGCGGTGAGTTGTCCTATATGCCCATAGAGCTTCTTCCATACGGTCACTCCAATCTCGTTTGGATTTGGAGACGACTTTCTTTAACAAGTTGCATAGAGTCTTGTTGAATGCCTCGGCTAGACCATTGGCGGTAGCATTGTACATCGAAGAGTTACATTGCTTGAAGCCACAGAGATCACAAATCTTGTTCATCAACCTATTATCGAATGGCTTTCCATTATCCGTTATTATGTAACGAGGAATGCCAAAGCGATAAATAATGTTTACCCGGATGAAACTTGCAACATTTTCCTTCTTTACTTCCTTAAGAGCAACAGCTTCAGCCCATTTTGAGAAGTAGTCAGTTGCAGCCAAGATGTATAGGTTCCCACCAGAGGACTTTCGCAGTGGTCCAACAACATCCAATCCCCAAGCGTCAAATGGCCAGGATGCAACAGTCGGGTGCAACACTTCAGGAGGTTGATGAATAAAATTCGCATGGAATTGACAAGCCTTGCATCTTCGAGCGTAGTCCAAGCAATCTTTTACCATCGTTGGCCAATAATATCCCATCCTTTTTATATGGAAGTGGAGCTTTGGTCCGGACTGGTGTGACCCACATACCCCAGAATGTGCCTCTTGCAAAGCTTGGAGAGCTTCTTCTTCTCCTAGGCATCGCAAGAGTACTCCCTCGAACGACCTTCTGTATAGAGTATCCTTGTAGTAAAGGAAGCGAGGTGCACGACGACGGATTTCAGTCCTTCTCCTCGGATTTTCTGGAAGTATCCCATAGCATAAGTAGTCGATAATGGGTTGTCGCCATTCTTCTTTCTCAACTTCAGAAACAGCAACAAGATGTTTGAGTTCGTTTTCTTCACCTTCAACTTCATTTGGCGGCGGTACGACCCATTTTTGGCAGACGGTAACTTGCGCTTGGTCAGGCAGGGCTAATGATGAAGCTAGAGCAGCTAAAGCATCAGCCTTCTTATTTT